ACCTAACGATTAGATTATATGCAAAGTTCATTTCAAAGAGCCTTGCCTTGTCATATGAGGATGAAATAAATTCAGAGCCCTTCATGTTAGTAGGCAATGTTTCTTTAATTCTATTGATAATTTTATTCAAGATTCAAAGAGCCTTACCTTGTCACATGAGGATGAAATAACTTCCGATCTCTTCATGTTAGTAGGCAATGATTCTTTGATTTTATTGATAATTTTATTCAAGATTCTTCAGAACTCAGTGGAACCAAGTTTTCTTTTAATAATTTCTCGCCAAGCAAGGCGTTAATCCAGCTAGTACGCAGGGGGGTTACAGAGAATAAAAGTAAGTGAAAAGACTTGGTATACAGAGGAGGGTTGAGGAAAGCACGGAGGAACGGTGGAGTAATGGATATCGGCTTGGATTGAGGAATCGGAGAGCCGAGTTCGAATTCCAGTCGAATCCATTATGTTCACTTACGTGCTAACACCCTTGGGAAAGGTGTAAATCTTCTTTCTTCTCCCTCCAGCTATGGGTAAATAGCAGGACAGACTGGGTTCTATAGCCTTGTATGGCAACTGGTCTAGGAGAAGGAAAACTCTGAATTCAAACCTGCTCTTAGAGGAGGGTGAATGGAGTCTCTCTGAGCCTTGGTTGGCAATCCATTTAGTGTTGGTGTCACGATAAAAACACCCTTGATAGCCCTAGCGAAGCATCAAGAATTCAGCTATTTCACAAGATTATGAACTACACCAATCAAAGTATTGGTGAGTTCAATCTCGGCTGAGGCCGCAAGATGAGGAAAGAATAAAATATAAACGTTATTATAGAAGATGCCGATTTACATTGCATTTAAATTTTTCAAGATTGTAATTATCAGAGTAGCAAGTAATCGAAAGGAAGTTCTACAGGTGGGAAGTGCGAGAAAGGAACTGTTGGAGTACAATTGGCTGTTACATTTAACTATTTCAACTGTAAATGGGGGGGGCTATATGCCAATCTAGTAGCACGCTCAATTCACGTAGTCAGGGCACCAGATACAAAATAGCCCGCCAAAGCAGTTGCCATGTTTGTTTTCAAACTTAGTTTTTACGGAATGTGCATAGCTTCTCTGTGCATTTTTCTCCATCCGTCTTGCAATCATTGCAGGCATCTATGAATACGCTGATATTTGTACTAGAGATGATAGTTACCGTGGTCTATGACTGCAGCGTTTTCTTTCATCTACAATAGTGAGAAGTGTCCAAGGGTGGTAAAACTTCAGTGGAGTATTTATCAGTGCAAGTTGAGTGAAAGGACTGTAGGGGTTTGCGTGGTGACCCTTTGAGTGAGAAACACAAAAGTCAGCGATGGAGAAAGTTTTTGCCGTCTTTGTATGAGTAAATTAACCACACCTTTTGGTGAATATTGAAGTAGACACAGATGTGAACATTAGCGAAGTGATCGTACATTATCAATCTTCTTTTACAGTAAAATGACTAACAATACATATTTATAGTATATACTTAGTTGAAGACATAAAATAGCTTTCAAAATATTTAGATTTCGTCATTAAATAACCCACCAACCAACCAACCAGCATGAAAGAACTCTCACATGATATTAATCCATATAATATCCTACCATCTCTTCAAGAAATCAAACTGTATTCGTGATATGGTAATTTACCCGCGTACGCATAGACTCCCCCATCTATAAATAGGAGCAGGTACTGCCTTTTGGCTTGAGGGAAGTTTCCAACAGTCAGCTCTGATAGTCGGACCGAACATTCTTGCTGTAACACTCTTGTTTGTATTACTGTTTCTGTTAATATATTTGTTTAACTCAATTCCTCTCCTTGTGTCTTTATTTCTGGCACTAAAAAAGCCACAACACTATCTTAATATGTTTTTTCCTATCTATCTATCTATCTATCTATCTATCTATCTATCTATCTATCTATTATGGTAATTTATGCACGCACGCATAGATTCTCCCAGCTATAAATAGGAGCAGGTACTGCCTTTTGAAGGGCGAATTTTCCAGCAGTCAGCTCTGACAGTCGGACCGAACATTCTTGCTGTAACACTCTCGTTTGTATATGTTTGTATTACAGTTTCTGTTAATATATTTGTTTATCTCAATTCCTCTCTTGTGTCTTTTTTTCTGGCCCTAACAAGACACAACAATTCCAAAATATAACTTCAACAAAACTACAAAAAAAAAAAAACACACATGCCACCGCCTCTAGTAATTATGTCCACACAACCGTTTATATTCACAAAAGCTGAGTTTCATCTACCATGTATTCAATTGTGAAAGATGAATAGCATATCATATTTAATACTTCAAGCTCGCAAGCAAATTAAATTTCGGGAAAAATGACCCTTAACGAGTTGATGTACCGTTAAACAAATCAATCAATACCTATTTATAGTAAATATTTAGTTGAAGCCATAAAATTGTTTTCGAAAAATTTAATATCGACATCAAATAACCCATAGAGGCTGAAATGCCGCTAAAAAAATCGACCAAGCAAACAACGAACATGAAAGAACTCTTTCAAGACATTAATCTATATAAAATCCTACAATTTATGAACGAAATCAAACTGTATTCCAAAATATAACTACAACAAATCTACAGCATAAGACACACGCAGTAGCACCTCCAGTAATTTTGTCCACACAAACATGTATATGTACAAAAGCTGAGTATCCGTTCATTTTTAAGCAAATCATTCAGTCGAATGCACGTTCAAAATAACACATCTAACTTGCATTCCATATCGAAGAATTTTCCTTTCGTAAAAAGTGCATAATGTTCTGCAAAAGCGCTATTTGTTCTCAGAACTATTCTTGCTATCAGATATCTGTATTTCTTTAGGCAAAGTCTGTCGAGATCCGGCCCTCAGAATTGCCTTTTTCGGATTCCATTTCTCAGAACCAGTACAAAGGAAGATCTTCTCTCAGAATTGCCGAAGAATATGTTTCTCCTTGTGCGAAAAAAAAAGAAGAAAAAAAATGGTAAGAACATAATGGCAATACTTAAATCTTAGTAAATATGTCACACAAAAAAGAACACTAAGATATTGATAAATAAATAAAAGAGAGATTTAGAAAATATTCAATTATGAGTTCAAAACCCAGAGACGCATTCATATTCTGATACCGAATTTTATTCACGTTCTCCTATCGACAACGAAATAATGCAGTAATTTAAAATGGCTTTGAATTTAACTCCGATATCTTTTCTGGATATTCTTCTTCATAGTTAGAGATTCAGAGTCTGTCTATATTTCTGAGATGAGGTATTATGTACAGTATTTACATTAGTCGGACTATTGTCCTCATCTTTGTCGCCATATTGCAATATGAACTCTGGTAAAGACATGCAATGATAACAGCAAAATTGCAATATGAGCACTGGTAAAAAATGATATGGAAAACATTAGCTTTATAATACTCAGAAGTTCATACCCCGATGTCCTCAAGGACACATGGCACAGTGGATAAAGGCGTTGGTTAGATCCAGTGAAAGACACAGAGAAGGTGAGTTCAATACCTGGTTAAGGCAGTAGAGAACTTTCAGAGGGAATATTAGCAGGAGATAACTGACATCCATCAAACATGGCACGTGGAACTAGAACAGTCTACCCCAGTGCACGAAATAAAGGGTTCAGTTTGAAATTCCAACCACCTGAAGAAGGCCGGAGCGTACAACGGCCGAAACGTTGTGACAAATATGGCGACAAAGATGAGGGCAATAGTCCGACTAATGTAAATACTGTACAGTTAGAGATTCTTGATAAAATACCGAGAATAATCTGTAATGTTACTGGTACTGACCTGGCATCTCGGCTTCAGACACTTTCTCACCTCTGTAACGTAGCTTCTCTCTGTTTTTTCTTTCATGTTTGTTGTTCTGGGGAACCTTCCTCTATGGTTCCTAGACTTTATGAACTTTAGCTCACTACTGGATTGGCGGCAAGGTCTCATTATTTAGTAGAATAACTAGATGTAACCCTAAATTATATGCTAAAAGTTTCTTTTTATCACACTTCTTGCTTGTGGAATTTTCTTCCGTCTTCTTGTTTTCCAATCAACTTTGATCTTCAAAAATGTAAATGTAATGTCAAACATTATCTTCTGTCTTCTTAATTCCTGTTCTTTTATTATCCTCTACTGTTAAAGGTGTTTTTCTCTTATATTCTCTCGTATTCTGCAACCTATTGCTTCTTAGTGGCTTTATTGCCTTGTTTGGGTGTGAAATGTTTTTTAAAAAAAATCAAAACATGTCTATTTATATCATGCAGGTATTGTTGATTTTAAGAGTACATATAAAAAGTACATATAAGAAATGAAACATACAAAAAGTACACATCACAGGTAAAACAGCCACTGCTAATTACGGTTTAAACTTTCTATTAAAACAAGATTTTCAAGAAAATAGCTTTTTTTTTCCCCAGTATATTGAATTTTATCGCATTTTCCAGTCTTGATGAGAGTTTCCTTCCTGATCTTTTGTTTTGTTTGTGTGGAATGTCATTATCTTGATAAAAATGATTTTAAAAGTACTTTCTATAGCTTCGGCTATAGGAGTCGTTTAACTGATGGAAAAATTGATTATGTGTTCGAATCCTCTCAGGAAGAACACTTTTCACTATCTAGGCCGCGTGACATTAAGTTCACAGTTTAAGTAAATAAAAAATAAAGACGTCTACTGAAATGCCAGTACACACTATAACTGTTAACTGGTGTTAGAAATGGCTTGTAAATTTTAACGGCTCCAAATCGAAACTTCTATCTTTTAGTCAACATGGAGAATTATTTCTGCTTTTCATCATCCTGGTTGATGGTAAACTCCAATACAGCAACTCATTTCGCTTTCTTCGTATGAAATGACGTGGAATGATTATATTGAATTAATTACTTTGTCTTGCTGCTAAGTTGGTTCACTGTGTTGCGAAAAAAGAAAGAAATTAAAAATGAATGAATGAATAACGGATCGAAAGTCGAAGTTTACTAAGCAAGAATTAAAGAAGAATATAAAGAAAAAAGAACGAATGAATGAATGACAGAAAAAACGAATGAATGAAAAAAGAACGAGTTAATGAATGAATGAAAGAAACTGGAAGAAAGCAGAGGAAGATGGAATGAATGAATAAATGAATGAATGGTGGACCAGAATTGAATGTTAGTTTAGCAAGAAAGAAGGAAAGAAAAAAAGAATGAACGAATTTTGGATGAAAAGCTCGCTAATTAAAAAAAAAGAATGAATGAATGAATGAATGAATGCTGGGTCAAAACGGGAAGTTCACTGAGAAAGAAAGACAGAAAGAATAAAGAAAGAAAAAAAGAATGAATTTTGGTTAAAAACTGGAAATTTGTTTAGAAAGAAAGAAAGAAAAAAGATAAAAAAGAAAGAATGCTGGTCCAAAAATGGATGTTTGCTTAGAAAGAAAGAAAGAAAGAAAGAAAGAAAGAAAGAAAGAAAGAAAGAAAGACAGAAAGAAAGAAAGGAAAGAATGAATGTTAGGTCAAAACTGGAAATTTTCTTAGAAAGAAAGAAAGAAAGAAAGAAAGAAAGAAAGAAAGAAAGAAATTATGAATGATGAATGAATTAATCAATGATGGATCAAAATTGGAAGTTTGCTCAGCAAAGAAAGAAAGAAAGAAAGAAAGAAAGAAAGAAAGAAAGACAGAAAGAAAGAAAGAATGCTGGTCCCAAAATGGATATGTGCTAAAGAATGAAAGAAAGAATGAATGAATGCTGCTACAAAACTGGAAGTTTGCTTAGAAAGAAAGAAAGAAAGAAAGAAAGAAAGAAAGAAAGAAAGAAAGAAAGAAAGAAAGAATGAATTAATCAATGCTGGATCAAAACTGGAAGTTTGCTCAGCAAAAAAGAAAGAAAGAAAGAAAGAAAGAAAGAAAAAGAATTGAAGAAATGAGTGCCAATAAACAAGAAGAAAAATCAAAGCAGTACAAACCAGAAAAGGATTCCTCGATGAAGAAGGAAACAAAGAAAGAAAGAAGGAAGAATAAAAGAAAGAAATAGAATTATTAACATGAGTAATACCCCCAGCAACAAAAGAAGAAGAAAAGTGGTTTAAGAGGAAGAAATAAGAAACGTAAAACTAGGCAAACACGTCAATACGTTTAAGTCGAAAATTATCTGAGCAATCGATCTGACCAATTTGGATCGACCATTTATCTAAATACGTGAAATACTGATTGGAAAATTAACAGCAATAGTTTGGCTTCCTTTCGTGCCCACTTGTCGTTCCATTGGCGAAAACAACATCAATTACCGATGTACAATCTCCCAGTTAAATGCCGAATAACGCTAATAAGATCAATGTTCCATCCAACCATTCAAAATATGAGTAGTAACGACTCAGCGAATAGCCATTAATACAAAAGTCTAATGCTTTACATAGGCAACTTATCAGAATTTTTATCACATCCGGTGAGTCCTTGCACCCTAAATATCTGACGATTCTCAATATATTCGAAATCTATTTGCCTAAATTCCAAAACCTTACATAATCTAGTGTTTAATTTGTTCCTCGAATTTCCATTTTTATCGAATCTCGGTTTAAATTTATGCAATGAGCAGTTTTTTTTTCTTCTCCCCAAGCAAGGCGGGAGTACCACTAGCAAGCAAGGCGGGAGAGCCACTAGCATGCAAGGCGGGAGAGCCACTAGCATGCAAGGGGTTACAGAGAGTGAGAGTAAGAATAAAGAGGGTTTGTTTGAGAAATTTAAACAGTATATATATTTATTTTCGTCTAAAAGCCTGAATATTCGAGAAATCTTATTAGCGAAAACTTGCGCCCTTTAGCAGGATTCGAACCTGCATTCCCCTAGAGGAAACGTCATTAAATTTGACGATCTAACATCTCTGAAGATATTGTATTTCATTTGTTTTTTTTTTTATCGAAGTAGTCATATTCTCTCTGAACATAAGGAATGGTTTACTAGTCAAATTTACTTAACTGGGTAGACCAATGTAGTTATATTCCAATGTGTTTACCTTCCTCTGGCACAAGGCCAGAAATATGGGGTAACCAGCTGTCTCTAAATATTGTGATTATTGGCATTGACGCGCATTATACCTGTGTTTCTCAATCTTTATTCAACCTGCGCCTTTTTTGGGCACACACTTTTTCGTCAACGCCCCATCCACGTCAAATTAAATTTCGAATATTATACTGAATTCACCATTCATCGCAAGATAAGATTTAGATATTAGTGAAAAATAATTTTGATAGTGTTTTCATTTTATTATAAATACCAATGATTAAAATGCCTAAAAAAAAAAACATTTTTATTTGATAGCTTATCTCAGTTTTGAATGCGATGGTTGACATTAGTGCTTTCTGCCTAAGGCTCTTAAGTTCCATGTTGCTTTGCATAGAAATAGTAGATCGCCTCGTTTTGTAATTTGTAGGCGTTTTTTTTTTTTTTGTTGTTGTTTAGTAAGATGTGTGACTGCGTTGAAACCACATTCAGCCATATCAGAAGTTGGAAAAGCAATGAAGAAAAGTTTGATAGTTACCCACAATTTTAAATACCTTTTTAAAATTTCCTTTTGTATTGAATAATTTTTTCAAAATTTGAAAAAAAAAAATTGATAAATGATTATGTCCCCCCCCCACAAACACACAAATTAATTAAAAACTCCCAGCGCCCCTCTTTCAATATAACAGAACCCACAAGGATTTGCTCACTCCCACGTTGGGAAATATTGGTTTATGTTGTCCAGCAAATATCTCCTTCAAAATGGCGCCAATGATTAAGATTGTCACGCCGTTATATCCAGTTAAACACTTTGATGAAGATTGTTTCATCGGGGGCGGAGGGAAGGTCTCTTAAGTGGCCTATTCGTTGGGAGGTTAATTGTCATCTGATACACAAGTGGGTGAAGTGAAGTGTGGTTATATATATATATATATATATATATATATATATATATATATATATATATATATATATTATAAATTAATTGATTTAAAATATGGTTTTTTCAGCTACACAGTTCTAACCATGTTTTTGAAACATGGTTAGAACTGTGTAGCGAAAAAAAACATATTTTAAATCAATTAATTTATAATATTAATGCTCTGTAAATTTACATCGAGCACTACTTTGTAAAAAATCAAAATACCTATAAGAACACCGGATTATATATCTTACTGTTCTTTCTTTATATATATATATATATATATATATATATATATATATATATATATATATATATATAACAATCGAAATTATACACGAAGCATGGTTAAATATCCATTGGGAGTGACGGGTTTTATTTCTACATATATCCAGTCGGGCTGAAGGTCTTTTACACAACCCAACCTCCGAGCGCATTTTTCCAGTTTGGCCAAAGAGGTGGAATCTTTCTTCTTTTTATGTGCCATGTCCTTTCAGGACGTAGGCGATCATGACTCTCCACTTACCCCTATCCCTTGTAGCTCTCAATATTTCGTGCCTCTGTCAACTCCCACAGATCTTAGGTTCCATTTTGCTTTGCAATGAATCGTAGATCGCCTCGTTTTGTAATTTGTAGGCGATTTCTTTGTTTAGTAGGAAGATGTGTGACTGCGTTGAAAACCACATTCAACCATATGGGAAGTTGGAAAAGCAATAAAGAAAAAAGTTAATGGCTTCCCACAGCTTTAGATATGTTTCACTAATTTCCCTTTGTAGCCAATATTGAATAATTTTTGAAAATTTGAAAAAAATTTTGATGAATGGCCATCCCCTCACACCCGAGTATGTTCCCCGCCCCCAAATGCAAGAAAAACTCTCAGTGCCCCCTTTTAGGATAAGGGTGCCCATAAGGGGGCGCTAACGCATACGTTAGGAAAAACTTCTAAATTTAGATGATAATCAATCTGATAGGAAAAGCTCATAATTCCAAATAGTGTAGAAGACAATGATGAACTACTTCAATATATTCCCCAGGAGGGCGTGGCAATTTACGGTTAAAAACAAAAGAAGGAATTTCTTGAGAACCATGATCACCTCCCTCCTGAAATGTCGTGGGACTTGAAAAAGCATCATCACTTGATCAACGTGGATAAATTGTAACTTTGTTAAAAAAATGGAAAAGTAATAATGAAATAGAAAGTTTTTTAGCAAAACCATCCGGTAATGATATCCAAATCAAAATCCGAATCGAAGGCCTTCAGGAATTCCTGGTTGACAATGTCTTCGGGGATCTAGTCTAACTAGTAGCAATACGATCATGAAATTTGGTTTATTAAAATGTGCTAATGGTAATAGTAATAGTTGTTTCTTTATAAGAAAATATTCGGCAACCTTTAATCGAAGAGACAGTATTACGCTTTTCTTCATTTCCTGGTCATCGAGCTGGGATCAAAGTGTAGTATATATTCTCCTCCTCTTTTTATTTTTTTAAAAGCATTTTCCCCAAGCAGGCGGAAGTGCCACTAGCATCCACTGGGTTACAGAGAATGAGTGCAAGAGTAAAGAAGCATCTTTGAGGAAAGGATATAAAGAAGGACTGGGATCAAGATTATGGCATTAAAAGATGTCGATTGACTGTCTATATTTCTGAGATGAGGTATTATGTACATTATTTAAATTATTCGGACTATTGTCCTCATTTTTGTCGCCAAACATGGAACGTGTAACTAGAACAGTCTACCCCAGTGAGCGAAATAAAGGGTTCAGTTCGAAACTCCAAAACACCTGAAGAAGGCCAGAGCGTACAACGGCCGAAATGTTGTGATAAATATGGCGACAAAGATGAGGACAATAGTCCGAATAATGTAAATAATGTCGATTGACATTACATTTAAATATTTGAAGTTATAGCTATCAGTGAAGCGAGTAAGAGGAAGGGAGTTCCGCTGTCGGGAAGTGCTAGAGAAGAAGCTGTTGGAGTAGAAAAGGCGGTTATATTTAACTGTTTCGACAGTGAAAAGATGGAACTAGGATGCCAACTTATTAGGACGCTTAAATTCATGAAGTCCAGATACCAGTGTAAGTAGCTTGTCAGAGCAGTTGCCATGAAAATATTTCTAGAAAAGACAGAGGGAAGCTACAGCACGTCTGTGAGAAACTGACTTTAGACGAGATGCCAGATCAGGACCTATCACATTGCATATCCGTCTTTGAATTTTGGCTGGGACACCGAGATGATCAATGGGAGCATTAGACCATATATGGCAAGAGTATTCAATGCAAGGACGAATGATTGATTTGTAGATTAGAAGGGTGGACTCAGCTATAATGATAATGGTAATATTAGCCGTTTCCTTATGGGGAAACATTCGGTTTCATTGAATAAACAGTCATTGCTACTTGATTTGTGATTTATTTTTATTTCCTGGTCATCAGGCTATGATCAAAGTTTAGTATCTGTTCACCTCCTCTATAATGGTAAATACAGCCGTTTCCATATGAGGAAACATTCGGTATTCATGGAATAAGCAGTCATTGCTACTCGATTTAAGCTTTTCTTCACTCCTTGCCTTCAGGCTAGGATCAAACTGTAGTATCTGTTATGCCCATTTTTAATGGTAATAGTCCTATTAGCTATTTCTTCATAAGGAATCGAACTCCATCGGACATCAACCTATTGAAGCATACAACAATTCGAATCCTGGTGGATAGAGTGATCGGGTAGGGGTTAAATATGAGAATAGTCTGGTTTTTATACATTTAGATGATAATCAATCTAAAAGAAGACAATCTTAGAAGTGCAAACAGCGTAGAAGGCGGCGTTGAAGCACTTCACTATATTTCCCAAGAATTCATAGCAATTTACAGGTAATAAAGAAAAAGAAATCTGTGGCGAGCAAAGATCGCCCACGTCCTGAAGTGGGATGTTATATTCAAAGATGTTCATCTGTTGCAAGCTGAAGTAAGGCCTTTCTGACAGCAACAAGTTTTGTAAGCATTTTAGCTGATTTAGGGGAATACCAGAGATTCGTTGGCACGTCGAGTTTTGTGTTTTGTTATATTTTCTCGTTTTTTTTTTTTTGTTTTTTTTTTTAGCGTCAGTATTTCGCGTTGTCTGGCTCATTGTGGTATTTTTTGTTCAAGCCACAACGCGTTGTGAATTACAGATGTTTACATTGGCGGCTTTTATTTTATTCGAGCAAATATTGAATCGCTTCGCGCAGAAGCCGGTCGTCAACGTCTGTGTCAATACGTCTGTCTCTTTTTCTATTCTGTTCCCCTCTTAGAAACTTATATTAAAAATATGTCAAAATGCTACTGTCAAGAAAGATATATTTGAATAAGCGGACATCGATAGATAGATAGATAGATATAGACTGTTAGATAGATAGATAGATAGATAGATATCAATGGACAGATATATATATATATATATATATATACGAACGGAATTAGATAGATAGATATGAATTGGCTGAGACAATAGATAGATAGATATAGACTGTTAGATAGATAGATAGATAGATAGATATGAAT